CAGCATAGACTGGTGAGCACATCTAGGGCTGCATCTGTTAATTGAAACAAGTCAGTTGGTATCCCGTCGATTCCTGGAGCCTTATTTTTTGCCAGTGCTTTCAATGCAGCTTTTACTCCTCCTTCATTGCTATTGGTCCCTGCTCACATGGTACTTCCTGAACAGCCTGTTGTAGGAACAGAGCATGGAAACACTGCATGATTTAAAGTTAAGAAGGGAGTGTGTCCGGGTTTTTTTCTCTCCATACCTATTCAATCTGTATGCTTAGCAAATTTGAGAAACTGGATTCTATGAAAAGAAATGTGGCAACAGTATCTGAGGAAGATTCATCAATAAGCTGTATTATGCAGATTACACAACATTGCTTGCTGAAATTGAGGAGGGATACGCATTTGCTGCAGATGAAAGGAATGCAGCCTTCAGTATGGATTGCATCTCAATGTCAAGAAGACAAAGATTCTTACCACTGGACGGAGAGGCAGCAGAATGATGGATGGAGAAGAGATTGAAACGATCAGCAACTCCATCTTTCTTGGATCCACAGTTAACATCCTTGGTTCCAGCAGTCAGGAAATCAGGGCACATATTGCAATGGAAAAGTCTGCAGTTAGGGACCTCTCCAAATTATTGAAGAATAATGATGTCAGTTTGAGGACTAAGGTGCATCTGATTCAGGCCATGGTCTTTCCGATCACTTGCTATACACCTGAGAGTTGGACAATGAATAGGGATTATAGAAGAAAAATTGATGCCTTTAGGCTGTGGTGTTGGAGAAAATCACTGAACATCCCATGGACTGTCAAAAAAAGAAATAAATATGTCTTGGAGAGGGTGCAGCCAGAGTGCTCATTGGAGGCAAGGATAATGAATCTTCACCTCACATACTTGGAGCATATTGCTAGAAGATGCTAGTCCTTGGAGAGGGACATGATGCTTGGAAGTGTGGAGGGTGAGCAAAGGAGAAGAAGAACCTTGACCAGGTGGACTGACACACTGACTGCTTCAATGGGTGTCAGGAAGTATGAAGATGGTGCAGGATAAAACAGGGTTCAGATCTGCTTTTCACAGAGTTGCTATGGGTTGGACTCAACTCAGTGGTGCCTCTTAACAACATGACAGGTGCAGGAAAGGCTTATGGTTCTATGGGGGAGCCTGGGCCAGCAAAGGGCAGAGCTGAGGGGGCTCTAGCCGCCAGCCAGCAGAGCTGGAGACACATCTCTGTGCTGCTGCACCTGCCCTGTCCTCATGCCACAGTGCCTGTGTTTGTGCGGTAGACATCAAATCAACAGGCTAGAAGCGTAAAGGTAGGTTCAAACAACTGTGGAGAAGAGGGTTCGTAGAACATTTTGCCAGAGTTGTTCTTGTAGGGCAGTGTGGTTGGTATATGTGCCACTGGTCTATTATCAATAAAAGACTTTAATATGCACCAGGCTCATCAAGCTAAAATGATGCCCACTGGGCATGCCGGAGCCCGCCCAACCAGTGCTCTTGCTTCTGGTTTCCCGGGAAGTGATTAGAACAAAGTCTCAAGCCCTCTGGCCATCATGGCCCATCTCAGAGTCCACTGGAAGCAGCTGGACACTCAGCCACCATTTGGAAATCACAAGTGTCCTTGTTACCCAACTCCTCCCCACTCTCCAGAGTGACTTGGCTCCGAGCGGACACCCCGCCCTCTGTGACCCTTCTGTCCTGAAGAGCCAGGCTCCGCTTTGTTTCTCCTAATTCACCAGCCAGGTCATGATGACCCTCCCAGAAGCACAGCTCAGCCAAGCTGCCAACCTCACATGGGACTCAACCCATCCATTCCCATGTTTGACGTGGAGACACACACACACACACACACACACAACAACTGGGTTTCCCCAGGAGCCGCACACCTCACGTGACACTGCCCACTTGACCCCCAAATCCTCACCTTCTGAGGGACTTGTTTGAACCGTGGGAAGAGTTTGTTTCCCCATCACTTCTTACTCCTGCATTTTAAAGGCTCCCGTTTCTCCTCTCCTGGAAGCCAGTAAGCAGGTGCGTCATGTTGGGAAGGCCCAGGCCACACTTCATTGGCGTAGCACTGGAAACCAGCCATCCTTTGTTCAAAGCAAATTGAACTATTCTCCCCTTGCTGAATATAAAACACACACCAAATTAATAATTTATTGCAGTTATAGTCATTTTATCAAATTAGCCAATGCTTACAGCAAAGGTGCAGACCTGAGTCAGCTCCCAGTCCATGGTCAGACATTTATCTCAGGATTCACTGTTCTCCAAAATACCGGATTTCTCCAGCCTTTGTCATGGTTAAATTGTGACTCAGGAAGCAGTGATGGAGCCCTGACCTTGGCTCCTGTAGACCTAACCCTGTTAGGAAATAGGGACAGTGAAGATGCCACCAGTTTACCTGAGGCCATATGGGATGAGGCAAGTCCTGGCTCAAGTGACTGCTGTCCTTCTGAAAACAGAGAAGACTCAAGAAACAATGGGAGGGACACCGCCCCGCCCTGCCCAGGCCCTCCACGCCTGTTTGGCTCCTTCCTTCTCCTCCATTAGCCAGATGGTGCTGATGGTGCTGCAGGAAATGGGACTTTGATGGATGTTTGCTGATGACGAATGAGGGAGGGAATCCGTGACCATTGTGTCAAATGATAAAACTAGTTTATGTAAAGAGAATTTTGTTATGTGTTTCAAGATACAGCATCATGCTTCCAACTTGGGGCTTCACCTGCTACGTGATTGACAAAATTGCTTCGTTTTTAAACCGATGTGTTTCCTTTCCTCTGAGAGGGAAAAGTAGGGCATTTTGAGCTCAGCCTCGGAAACCCTGTGAGCTAGTTTGACTGTCATTTGGGGTCATTCTGAGTTAGAATTTGATCGACAATATCTACCTAACAGCAACAGTGATTATTAGATACACTTTCAAATGCAAGCCTAAATCGAATGCTATTACGCTTTTAATTTTAAATTTGCTGAAAAAAATTGAAATAATTTTTTAATTTTTTACTGATTTGCTTACAAAATTCATATACATTGTTTTTCACACCAGATCTTTCCCATTTCCTTAACCCACTCCTCCCTCTGCCCATCAAATTATGCAACCCTATGATTACCTCCCCCTGCCCATCCTCTCACCCCTGTTCCTACCCTCCCCCCTTGGATCCTTATACTCATTTTACTAATTATCTTTTTATTTCTACAATAATGATTTTATATAGTATTTGTCCTTATGAGACCGAGTTAGTTCACTTAGCATAATGCTCTCCAGTCCCTCCCAAGTTAGGTAGTGATTTTCAAAATCACCACAGTGATACTTCTGCATGCTGCATAGTATTCCATCGTGTGGATGTACCACAATCTCGATTGGCGTAGCACTGGGAACCAGCCGTCCTTTGTTCAAAGCAAATTAAACTATTCTCCCCTTGCTGAATATAAAACATACACCAAATTAATAATTTATTTCAGTTATAGTCATTTTACCAAATTAGCCAATGCTTACAGCAAAGGCGCAGACCTGAGTCAGCTCCCAGTCCATGGTCAGACATTTATCTCAGGATTCACTGTTCTCCAAAATACCGGATTTCTCCAGCCTTTGTCATGGTTAAATTGTGACCCAGGAAGCAGTGATGGAGCCCTGACCTTGGCTCCTGTAGACCTAACCCTGTTACCACAAGCCATTCGATTGTGGTTGGACATCTGGGCTATTTCCACGTTCTTGCAATGGTGAATAACACTGCTATGATCATTGGTGTGCAAATTTCCATTTGTGCCTCAGTTCTCACTTTCTCAGGGTATATTCCAAGCAGTGGAATAGCTGGGTCATATGGAGTTTCTATGTTAAGGTTTTTGATGCCAAATTGCCTTCCTGAGTGGTTGTACCATTTTATAGTGTGTAAGAGGTCCTATCTCTCCACATCCTCACCAACATTTATTATTTGCTGTCCTGTTAAATTTTGCCACTACTACTGGGGTGAGATGGTATCTTATTGTAGTTTTGATTTGCATCTCTCTTATATTTGCTGAAAATTTAAAAGATAATTTTATTTTACAGTTAATATTTCTAAAAGAATATTTTTCTGACATACTTTGCTCTACGTCTTGGGGAAATTGAAGTGTTACTGTTGAATCAATTGCTTTAGAAGTATGTTCCAAATGGTGTCTATTACAGCTCCGAATAGTTGAGTACTTAGTGGCTGACTGAAAAGTCAATGGTTCAAGTCCAACCAGCTACTCCAAAGGGTGAGATGCAGCGGTCTGGGTCTGTAACGATTTCCAGCCCGGGGAACCCAGTGAGGCACTTCTTCTCTGTGCCTCAGGGTTCTTAGGAGTTGGAATCAAGTGGCAGAAAACAGGTCAGAAGGCTATTTACTGAGAAACAACAAAAGTCTGTGGTGAGGTGTGGTACCTATGGTCTGTGTGGTGTCCACTCAGAGCAGGGAGTAAGCTGTGCTTGCCAGTCCTGCCAGGCTTCACCCTGGATGCGACCATCTGGAGCCAGTGTGCTGACTGCTTCCCAAATTACAGACGCCTGCAGCTTGAGTCCCCGAGGAGATATGCTGGGGGGAAAGCTGCCTCCAGCACTGACCCCCTCGACTTCACTCTCAGGCCAGAAGTCAAGGAATAATCTAGCAGACAGTGTGGGGGCCCAGGGACCCAGCCTCTCACAGCTGCCCCCTCATCAACGTCTCCCTCTCCCGCGGGGTCTGCTTCCGATGGGTGTGTGGTGGTAGCACATTATGACTCACTGGTTACCATGGATATACCAACCCTGACACACTGTTGTCCATGGGTGTCCACCTGTTCTGATGGTTGCACCACTGTCCATACACTGGTATAACTGACACCCATGATTTCATCAGGTCCACCATGTGTGCATACATCCACCTGCACAGGGCCTTGCCGAACAGCTCCACTGCCCAGAAAGTGCCTAGGCCCTGCGTCCACCCCTGATTCCCACCCTGTCTCGCCGGCTTCTCCCCTGCACTGTGCACTGAAGGCCTCCTCTCTTGCAGATGGCAGCCCCTACACCTGGTGGGTCGGCAAAGGCAACGAGAAGCACTACTACTGGGGGGGCTCAGGCCCCGGCATCCAGAAGTGCGCCTGCGGCATCGAGCGCAACTGCACGGACGCCCGGTACTACTGCAACTGCGACGCGGACCACAAACAGTGGTGAGTGAGGACGGCCGCAGGGCCTGAGCGTGTGGGAATGGCGGCTTTCAACGTAAGGGGCACAGTGGAAAGCACCAGAGAGAGGCGGAGACTGCCAGGGCATGCGCTTGCAGACGGACAGACGGAGCATGATTGATGGGCGACTGTCCACTCAGGGAGAAATCACAATTGTGCAGAAAACAGACGGCAGGGTGTAAGTTACAGTGTGCGGGAGTCAGGAGGTGGGTGTTGATCACAGTGTAGACAACAGGCAGTGGATATTGGTTACGTTGTAGACTTTAGGAGAGGGTGTTGGTTAAAGTGTGTGTGCACCCATCAGGAGTGGGTGTTGATCACAGTGTAGACAACAGGCAGTAGATATTGGTTACGTTGTAGACTTTAGGAGGGGGTGTTGGTTAAAGTGTGTGTGAGCATCAGGGGGGTGGGTGCTGGTTCCAGGTCAAGTGGGAATCAACCCACAGCTGACCCTCAGGTAGGTTTTCAGAGGCGGTAAATCACACAGGAGGAGAGAGCCCATCTTTGTTCCACAGAGCAGCAGGTAGATTTGAACTATGTGCCTTTGAGATTGCAGTGCAGCTTCTTACACTGTGGACAACAGGAAGGAAATGTTGGTTACAAAGTGTGTGCACATCCACAGTTTGGCTTCAACTACAGACCCCCAGCCATGTGACCTTTCCACGGGTGCAGGTTGAGTGTGTCCTGAGATGTGAGTGTGCAGCATGAGGTGAGCTCACAGCAGTGCGAGTGCCCGCCTTGCACCAGGAGCTGCCTGGCTGGCTGTGCTGTGGGGAGTGTGCAGTCATTCCTGAGATGGAACGATTGTACCACATGATTCATTGTAGTGCTAGATGTTTTCAGCCTCGCGTAGCATGTATGATCCACTCTTCCTCGTGATGCAATGATTGTAGCACATGTAATTCCTCATAGTGCGGGGTCCTTCCATCAGCTGGGCCATGGTACCTCGTGTAGCATGTATGATCCACTATTTCTCGTAGTACAAGGTGTTTCCATCAGCTGAGCCATGGTCCTAAGAAGCTCAGCCATGTCTCACCTAAGTAGCTCACAGCTGGGTCACCTGAGCTCTCACAGCCTGGCTCCGGCACTGAGTGGTCCTGTCTGAAGTGAATGGCTGCACAGGGACCCTCACTGTCTCTGAGCATGGTCAGTGTGGACTGGTCGGATGGCTGATCCTGACAGGTTGAAGGAAGCAGACGGGCCACTGCTGATCTTCAGGCTACGATGGAAAGCAGCTCACCCTCACACAGGAAGGCGGCTCACTCTTGTGGGCTGTCCCTGTCCCCTGACTCTGAGTGAATCATTCAGATTCACTCCTGATCATTCCTGGACAGCCACGTGTTTACTGTTAGTAACAACCTGACATGTGATAAAGTTCTGGTAACACAGGGATTGGCAGGGCTATCTGAACTCCTTACATTCATCCTGGAGTTGGTGGGAGATCTTCCAAGTCATCCCATTCAGAGAACAGGGCTCCAGTCAACCCCAGGGCCCACATTCAATATTTCTCCAGTTTCAGCTAAAATGTAATCTGCTTGTTGCTGCGTCATCAAGGATGACTCGGTGACCCTGTGACCCTCCCCCATTCTCAACATCTCTCACACACTTGACCCCATTGCTGCAGTCACTTGTCAGTCTATCTCATTGAGGGTCTTCCACTCATCGTTGAGGGTCCTCCACTTGTTTGCTGACCTCCACCTTTCTAAGCATGATGCCCTCTCCAAGAATAGCATCTCCTAACAACATTCCCAGCATGTGAGAGATGAAGCTTCACCATCCCTGCCTCCAAGGAGCACTCTGGCTAGACGTGGCAGTGTGCAAATGGCAATTCTTGAAAAGTCTGCAATTTATACACCAAACTTTATCACCTGCAGATTTGTTACAAAGGATCAAAAAGACTCCTATTACAATGATAAATATCATATGCACATGTATTAGACATTGACATACACTTGAGTTTGACAGGCCCTTCATAATTGAGGTTAAAAGGAATTACATTGCCACCTCAAAGGCACATAGTTCGAATCCACCAGCTGCTCTGTGGAAGGAAGATAAGTGAGATAGGAAATCTCCTTCTGCACCTCTGAAAACTCACTGGAGGGTCAGCTGTGAGTGAGCTGATTCAAATACAACATAACAGCAGCACATATATAAACATACACACATAAGGATCCCTGGTGGTACAGCAGATAAGTGCTCACCTGATGACCGAAACATCAAAAGTTCAAGTCTGCTAGCTCCTCAGAGGGAAAAAGACATGGCTGTCAACTCCTGTGAAAATCATAGCCTGTGACCGTGCAGGGACGTGGATGTTCTAGGCCCTTGCACAAAGCAACAGAGGCTCTGAGACAGATCAATGTCTATGGCTTTGCTTTCATTCTCTATATCCTTTTAGGTATGCGTGTGATCATATGTAGTCATACATATGGTTATATGTTTTCATATTAATATATGAATATGAACACTACCATATATGTACTTTGTTCGTAGTTACTTTTCATATCTGTGTATACTTCATGTGCCTCTCTCAATCTCATTGCCGTTCAGTAGGAACTAGTCATAGATGGCTCTCTCTAGTGGTTTCAAAGATGTGATAACATGGGAGGAGATGCTTGTCTTTCTTCTTCGTAACCTCTAGTAAATTCAAACATCCAGACACATGGCATTATGCTGAGTGAACTCACTCAGTCCCATAAGGACAAATGCCGAATAAAACCGTTATTGCAGAATGAGTATGGGGATCCAAAGGGGGAGGAGGGGGGGAACAGAGGGGTGAGGATGAATGTGGGGTGGAAGGGGGTGTTAATCATAGGATCATATCATTTGATGGGTGGGGAGGTGCAGGAAATGGGAAAGATTCAGTGTGACAAACAATGCGTTCAAACTTTGTAAATAAATCAGTATAAAAAAGTAATTTTTTTAAAAAAATAATTCTTTTGGCAGTCAGTCCCTGAGATGTTCCGCACTCCTCTCCAGGCCCACAGCTCAAAGGCATCAATTCTTCTTTTATCATCCTTTTTCATTGTCCAGATTTCAGATGCATAGCAAGTGATCGGAAAAACCACAGCCTCAGTCAGATGCACCTTAGTCTTCAAACTGACATCATTACTCCTCAGAAGTTTGGAGAGGTCCCTAACTTCTGACTTTGCTAGTGCAGTACTTCTCCTGATTTCCTGACTGCTGGTACCAAGGATGCTGATTGTGGATTGAAATAAGATGAAGTTGTTGACAGGTTCAGTCTTTTCTCCATCTGTTCTGATGTTACCTATCGGTGAGCCTGTAAGTGGACGGGCCAGCACACAACTGCTCCCTGGAAGGCTCATGACTCCCACTCACCCATAGACCTCTCAGAAAACTGTCCCAGCCATCTGCTTCCAGAAGGCCGCAGAAATCCTGTGAGACTTGTCTATTCCACACACGTGTCCGAATGACAGCAAACCACCCCGCACATCTTAGAAACGGCAAACAGGATACAGAATATGGAGGGATGTAGGCTTAGGTTGATAAAAGGAAGTTTGCTGTTTGCAGAGTTAGATTTCATTTCTTGCAGACACTTTTCTTTTAAGCTGGAGACTGGGTGTTCTCTCCTCTAGTTATTGTGCCTGGGCCTGTCCCGTCATCACATCCTCTGAGGGAGAGGACGTCACTAAGGTCCTACTGAGAAATCAGTGACTGGAATTGTTAAGGTACTGTGAGTTTGGGTTAACTTATTTCCCTAAGTTTGTGTGTATAGGAGTGGGGTTTGTGCGCGCGTGTGTGTGTGTGTGTACATGTGCACATGCCCTGAAAGAGCTCATTTTCTCTCTGTGTGTTATAACCACACATCATTACATGGAGTGTAAGGAAGAGAGATTTCCTCTAAGGCTTAGAGAAGTGGAATAAATAGGATTCCAAACGTCGTGGTATAACTCAGAGAGCTTTGAGCTCAGAGGCTCACCAGGCACAGACTGTAAATTGGCTGTCATCATAATTCTCTCAAAAATGAAAGGGGGGAGAAATTATTTTTTAAAAAAATTTAAAAAAAGAAATTTCTAAACCCAAGTCATTTTCTCACACACATGCAATATCTTCAGAATTTTATGAAGTCAAATAAACCATATTTCACCAATAAACTTTGAACTTTTCAAGTGAACACAGGAAAGCATTTTTCAAATCAGCAATAAGCACAGGTCCCCCCCAGTGACTTTCCCAGACAGCCTGGGAGCCCATCAGAGCAGGGGGAATAGGTCCCCTGAGCTCAGGCAGTTGTTCCATAGTTGAAGCCAGGCTCCACCCACCAGTTACTAAATGCACAGTTTTCAGAAACTTTTGCAGCCTTTCTAGTGTTCCATTTACCGCACTAAGGAGTAGAGGACCTCAGACGAACATGCTGTTGGTGACAGGACACACTCCAGGTCACCTGTACACAAGGCACGCCGAGAGGGCAGCCCTGGTAGGCTTAGTCACTTCAGTGGGCGACTCCAGTCCCTTCGTCCCCAGGAGGGGAAAGCCCTGAAGCTGGGAAGCATGTTGGCATGAGAAGGGTCTTCACTATGACAACAGTGAGAATGGATGGGAGGCAAGTGGGCAGTGGCCAAGCCAGGACAGTCTGAAAGCTCGGTGGGAGGTCGGATAAGGAAGAACCCTCCAGAAGGGAGAACTAGAACAGAGAAGCTTACGAGAGAAGCTAGAATTAAAGGGAAACCATGTGTGTGAGAGACTCGGGGTGCAGACTGCTAACTTGCTTCACTGAAAGTTTGGGGGTTCGCGTTCTCCCAAAGACACCTCAGAGGAAGGTGGAGACCTACATCCAGCTTAACTGCTGAAGGCCTTGTTGAACCTGTGTTCAACCTTTGTTCAAGGCCTTGTCTGGACCTTTGCTTCGCTTGCTTTGGACCATCAGGAAAGGTCAGTGACTAGGAAAGAGCTAGTGTTTGCTGACGTTGAAGGTGAGAGAAGCCGCTCTGATGTGGATGGCGCAGTGGTCACGGCTCTGCCCTGCCCAT